AAAGCTTTTGCCTCGGACTGGCTTTTAAATCAGAGCTGTTGAAGGTTTCGGCCTTCAGATACCAGACGTCGGGCTTCTGTACAAAAGTTCACATTGTCTCCAAATCAGAAGAAAAAAAAGATTTGACAAAAATAGTAGCGCAGAATCACAGTTAGGTTGCGTGTGAATCTCTATCTTACTAATATATCTCATCCCTTTTTCCCCTCGCACCTCACTCCCCTCCATCAATAATTTAATAAATCTTGCTCGTCGGTGTGAAATTAATGTAAGCTCGGAGTGAGGGGGGTGTGCGGATCCAGAGATGATGGATGAGGACGTGGGTGTCATCATAGCTGGGTGCAGGTATAGAGGTGAGGGGAGGGCAGATATTTAGCATACAGAGTGGATGTTGAGTTTGTTAGTTATAGTTGTGTACGGCAGATAGTGGCAACCTCAGGGTCAGAAAAGTAAAACCAATGTGTTTGGCCCCGTGTCAAAATAGCGTCTTATTCTGGGAGAATGTTTTTATGATAACTATATCTCATCAGAATCAGAATCAGAATTAGAAACAGGTTTATTACCAGTTTACACATATGAGGAATTTTACTTGGTGTCAAACAAGAATTAAAAACACAGGTAGAGAACTAGAACAAATGTTAAAATTAATAAAAAAATACAGTAAAATATATAACAGTATTTACATTGCAATGGAGTGGAACAAGAAGGAATAAAATATGGAATACAAATCAGCTCATCATTGCTTTCGTATGACAGACTAGCTTTTCTTCCTTGCTTTAAATAATTTGTTCGTGCTACTATACATTTGTTTGACAATGTTTTTTTTCCCATTAGCACCAACCAGAAGATGCTTGCTCTCAAACTTTGTGCATGAGCTGCTCAATCTGATGAACGTAGAGCGGGGATTTCACAAGGTCTCGAAGGCAGTTGGACCCAAACACACAAGAGAAAAGGACCCATGGTATAAACAACAAAAGGCAAACTTTGGTAAAGTGAAGCATGGTGTAAAAACACTAAACTAAAGGAGCAGGCAAAATAACGAAACATGGAAAGCAGCAAACACAAAACGAAGAACCAACCAGGATGTTAGGAAGAAACAGAAGCAGAAAATCCATAGGAAGAGTCAGGAAACATTGACAGAAACCTTATTGTGAAGAACCACAAATGAACGGGACATTTGGCCCTTAAACCTCAATTCTTTCTAACCCCACTCCTTGCAGAAATAAGTCTGATTGTATAGACGTCTATGAAAAAAATGACATGACTTATACCTTGATATATTACCTTAGTAAACATATTCCTGCCGAGTTTGCAACACAGTCTCACAGCATTTCGTGTTATAGTCACGAAATTAATCAGATTTCAGTATTCTGACACAGAACAATTTTAGAAGCAATGTATTTCTGGTATATGTTTCGTGCCTGCACCAAAAGTACAAAAAGTACAGGTTTCAGTATTCTGAGGCTCTGAGCCCCATTTATTTTCCTCGCGGATGGCAAAAAAAACTCCGACATTATACAATTTAAAATAAAAGGGTTAGGCTTAGGGTAAGATATTGAGTAAGAAAAATGTTTTTATGAACCACAAAGCTTCCGGTCTTCCAAGACCCGACCGGACAAAAATACGTGGTGCAGGCACAAAACATACTACCAATAGAAATACATTGCTTTTAAAATCGTTCTGTGTGACACGAACAAAATGTGAAAATCGTGTTGGTGAACACGAATCAATAGATTAAATTTATTTCGTGACTATGACACGAAATGCTGTGAGACTGTGTTGGAGATTATGGTCTCAATAGCTTTTGACATTTTATTCAGTGCAGCATGATCAGAATATCAGGATCAGAATACCTTTATTGGTCCCACAGAACATGATACATGATGTATTTTTCTAAAAGATGGTCCCATTTGTAGTAAAATAGACAATAAAGCAAGGTATCCTTTTTACGATGTTGCTACCTATTCCATGTTTTTGTCTTAAAACTCTTTGTAGTTTGTGATTTCATTCCATAACAAAGTTTAACGTAACAATTTTGATGGCCTATAAATAATTCCAGGTCAGACGTCAGAGTTGTACTACATTGCAGAAACAAGACTGTGTTTGTCTTGTCTGGTCGAGTTCACCATCATGTTCCCTCCCAGACACCTAATTTCCTAGCTGTGGTCTGTGGGGAGTGAAGCAGGTGAGAGTCTGCTCAGGGAGACAGTCCAGCCACTTAATCTCGTCTTCACTATTTTGGGAGGTGGCTGAAAAGATGAGTTAACCCTATATGTATATGACTCTCTCTCGCTCTGTTCTCCTTCTGAAAAGCCTTTATTTTCTTCTATACCCCACAATCAATACATCTTTTCATTTTTCACTCAATGTAACTATCTTCTAACCCCAATACATGTTTAGCCACGCTAGCAAAGCCATGCCATGCTAGCAACTCCAGTGATGATTGTGTCAGTAGATAAATCAATTTTAACATTGGTCCAATGACTCCAATCTGATATAATTTAACAATTATTGGATGGATTGGCCTTTACATTTGGTTGAATTAGTTAAATACTTCCGTTTATGACCAAAAACTAGTATTCCCATCAGTTTTTAATGTGGTTTCTGTTGAATGCTACTCTTTAGCAATCAAGTGCTAGCATGCTAACACTAAGCATGCTAGTTTAGTGTGTTAGCATCCAAAGTGTTAGCATGCTATAACCCTTAACTAGAGAACATGGTAGATATTACCTTCACAATATTAGCAAGATAGTATTTCACTATGCCAATGATAGACAAACATCCTTTCTCTTGACCAGATGTGCGAGATACAGAGTGTTGAAAGTACCTAGCATAATCGTTGAGTCATTGCTATTGATCAACAACCCTATTAACTGAGTGTAGATATATAGTGGCCATTTTGTAGTGGCAGTATAAATGTTACTGCAAGTCCCTCTGGATAACATCTGCTTATTAACATGTCAAAATATAAAATGTACAGACCACACAACCCAGCTCTACTCAACAACAAAACAGTTTTGTTATTTTAATGCGAGGCAATCACGGCTAATCACACACACCTCCATGTTGAAAATGGATTTCCAATTCAATGAAGCATCATAATTTAAAACCTGGCTAGATTCTGGTGTTTATAATTGTACAACATGGAAGAAAAGCAATGTTTAAAATGCAAACTGTTGAAAAAGAGAGTAGAGTATAGCCAAGCTTCATCGACAGGAGTTCAGCTTTGATTTTCTCTGGCATGTTTTGCCTGTATCCACCTGCTTATTATTCACACATTTAAATACATTTGCACAAGGGACCTGCTGGTTACAAACACAATATTACACTATTGGCAACTGAACAGCGATGGAGACTGCTGCTGGAAGATAAATGCCCTTTTCAATGTCAGTTTGATGGCAATTGGCGAGACAGGGGAGAGTTTCTCTTTTTTTCCCATTAACTTCTATCCACCAGATTTTTTAAATCGGTCCTGCTTCCCTGACCTCAGATAGTTATTATGCATCATGAAAGACATCCTCAACCTCATGTTGGAGTATCTTGAAGAAAATCATGTAAAATCATTATAATTTAAATGGAAACCACGATACGATAATACTTTAATGGTCAGATCAAGTCGGAAATTTGCTGTGATGGAAGTCAAATTTCAGACTTGATCTGACAATTAATATTATCGTATCGTATCATATTTATGTCAATTTAAGGACTCACAACAGGTCTAAGACATGGCAACTGGACAGCTTTAGAGGATAAAGCAGCCTGATGGAGCCCTTCAGACGAAGCTGTGTGTAGCGCCAGCAGCAGTGTTGGTTGTTGAGGGGGGAAGACCCAACCACTCCACCCCACAGTCACCATATGGCCCTACTTTCTCAGGCTTGCCTCTCCACACCCTCCTCCCCCAGGACTGAGCCAGCTTGTGTGTGAAAGCTTGTGTGTGAAAGGAAGACCACGCATTTGTGACAGAAAGCAAAAATAAAAAGAGAGATGAAAAGGAATACATGAAGGGTTTCAGATTATGAAAGTGTTCCTGTGACTCACTTTGACAAATTTGAGTGTGAAACGCTTGAGGTGTCTCAATCGCCATTTTGGCTACATAACAGAAGTCGAGGACCAATAGTTATTGCGTTAGATAACACTGCACTATACATGTGAGTTTCTTACAATATTTAATATAAGAACCACAATTCTGTTGAAGGATATGAGCCATCAGTGTGCTAAATGGGTTAATTAAGCAATATGTAATGACTTGGTATTTTGAATGATAACATAGTTATTTAGCTACCAATGTTATCATTCATAACTCAGCTAGCTCACTCAACACATTTTAAATTCCAGTGAGTTTTTAGCTGTGTGCAATTTGGACAACGCTTTCGTGTTGAAGTTCACAAGTTATTTAATGCCCTGTTCTCTTCCCAAGTTTTAAACCCATAGTTAATGATGTCAATTCAAACTAAAATATTGAAGTTGAGTTTAGCCAACAAAACAAATTGGGTAATCTTGGTATAAGATATTTGTTTAAAATAAGTACTTAAATTAAATATGTTTACTACAATAAGTCGTCAACGCAGCACTTATTTCGGTAAATTAAGCAATCAACGTGAACCCTTATATACGGACCGTATTGACGCTCCACTGCAGAAACACACAGTTAACATTTCAAATTAAACGACTTGGTTTGGTTTACGAAAAGATTGATGTTAAGGTTAAAATAAGTAGACGTTAGTTATGAAAATTAAGTTACGCTTAGCTGTTGTTTGACTTTTAGACATGAGACACGAACAGCTGTCTCCTGAGTTAAAGCCTTGTGTAAGACTTCCAGAGATCTTGTTTGGAGCGCTTATGCGTGACAGATACAATGAAAAACATATATTGTAATTCGAATGATAACAAACCAAATGAAAATGGGTTTTATGGCCAAAATACAGCAGCAAAACGAAAGGAATGAAGTGTCAAAATTCAGAGGTAAACACAAAACAGGTTAAAAAGACTCAGTGCCATGTGCGTGAAACTTATAGTTTTTTATTATTAATACTCAACACTTCATTTTGTTCATCATGTACAAAGAGAAAGAATAGTCTTATTTGAGCACTTATAATCGTAGATATCAGTATTATCCTTATTAGAAAGTACCTTAATGATGTTTTTTGCAATTTGTCATGACGTGGTTAATTTTGTTATTGAGATTACGTTTCCATACAAAAAAACAAGGTAAATGTTCCCCCCCCCCCCCCCCTCAATATTCAGTATTTACACAACCTGTACAATTATTTGTTTTTGTGTCGTTTTTGTGTTCATATGGTGTAAAAATGTGGGGGATTTATCTCAAAGAAACGGGCCACAAAAAGAGAAAAAGAATGGCCGAGAATAATATTATGTATATCATTAAGTATACTATTCATATGTTACATTTGTCAACCCACAGTAAATGTAATCATGTAGTTTGTGTGTTCACATTTGGTGGCAACCCCTTATATGTCATTCAGGTAAAGCAATCTGTCTAAATGACGACGATGGAAAATAGCAATATATTAACAAACAAACAAAACTGTACACAATTTAATAGAAAATTCTGTATGCATCAATATAAAGCGATATCAATACATATGAACACAAGTACACACAGGTTTAAAATATGCATTGAATTAGGGTTGAAATCATAAGCAGCTAAAATACATGGACCTTCACACAATCATGTAATATCACAGTATAATTCTTGCCATTTGATTAAGAAAAAAAAACAAGCCGGTGGGATAAGCAAATTAAAATGTTAGAAATTTCAAATAACTTCCCTCCAAAAACACATACAATGTTCACGAGTCAGTTTAACCGGTACATCGATCCCTGCAGCTGACCATTTCCTGCTCTTATTTGGTCCCGTGTGTCAGTATCGCAGAGGATGATCCCTCCCTACTTTTAATCGCCATTTTTTTCCTTGCGTTGTAAAAATGTGACACAGTGTTTTGCTCTACACGACCTCCCTTTTTTGTTGTTGAACAAATGCGTTGTGGCATGTTCGTGTGTCGAAGACCCAGGAGGGAAATAAAGATTTACTCTGCATCACGACCCCGACCTGCACTATCTGGCTTTAGAGCGGAGCAGCTGGAGGTGGTAAAGGCCTGATGATAGCATGTTTACCACAGTGTCAGGTGCACCTTCACTTCACTATACCAGCAGCTGGAAAAAGAAATATCGCTCGCCCTTGAAAGGCATGGAAAACAAAACCCAGGCAGTGATGACTTGGCACGTACAGTGAGGTCTTTTCACTGTTTGGTCATCCTGTTTATTGCAAATAAGGAAAAATATGTAGGAGTTTACGTGGATTCATTTGTCACTTTTCAATCAACCCTGTAGACATGAAAGCAGTTGAGGAGAAAAACAGAAGAGAGATGGATTCCTTCTCTCCGGGTCGGGGTGACGATCAAAAAGACTTATTGGTATAAGTACAGAAGAAGAGCGGGGGGAAATAATTCCTAACAAAAATTGCATATGTATACAACAAATTACAAATGATATATCCCGTCTCGTACTGAGAGAACAAGCACGGCACACGTATAAATAAGAATCCAACGCTTCTCAAGTGTTTTCATCTGTCAAATAATACAGTTTAGTAATATATTCCCCTGAAGCAGAAGTTTACATGAAATGACAGAACAAATGTTGCACCTTTTAATTAATAAGGGGTTGCACAAATGCATTCAATAAGGAATGGGAATGTGGCGTCACTAACGGCAAGTCGTCCATCTTTGGAGGATACCGGCGAATGCAACTTATTGACTTAACCTGTAGGCGAGCAAAGGAGCTTAACTTGTTCACTTTCTAAAACATGGTCGGTAGGCACTGTTATGTCACTCTAACAGCCACTCCTATGACCAATGAACAAAACAAAAACAAGGACCATGTGATTAGATTGTATTCCTTTAAACTAAAAGGCAGAGGAGGGAGACATCAGCAAGAGACGCTGAATTGTGTTCTTCTGAACTACAGGAACACAAACCACTACACTGGGAATATGATTGATAACATAACATATAGCAGTATACTTGCATATACCACAAGATGACTTATGCATGATAAGCCGACGTTTTGTAGCATAACATTAGTTGTCTTACATCTGTTCGGATGACTGTATCGTTTTCAATAAACCTGTAGATTTGAAGGTCCGGTATCAAGCTGTTTGTAAACTTGACATGGGCCTGTAAATATTTAATATTCTTAATTTACCGACAGCTGGAGACACTCACTCCAAACACCAGAGAGGACCGACAGTGATTGGTTCATTTTTCTCTTAATTCATAAGTACAGATGGCATTAATTCACTTTATTTTGTAAAATAACGCTCCTCTGTTTCTACCTATAGTTTGTATTTGTAAGTCGTTAATATTTCACGCATACTTTATTCATTTTGGATTAAAAAAACGCCGACAGGTGACCAGGAAACGCTGATATACAGTATATTGGCGGCTGCTGTTGTTCCTCCAAAGATGGCCCCAGAATGCACCCTGGTTCCCTTTCCCTATTGGGTTCTCAATACGATTACTCGCTCTTGTTTTTTCGCATTGTGCTAGAAGACTGCAGCGTTCAATGTGTGTGTGTGTTGATACGTGTGTGTGTGTGTGTGTGTGTATTCTTTACCACGGTGATGTCTATCCCAAACAGAAAGAGAGGGAACAGGATAGGCCGACAATGGCTCTAAATTCTGTGCATCAGAGCCCAGGGAAAAAAGGGAAACAAAGCGGGCAACAAAAACACATGTATCTGTTTTTAACTGCCTAAAAATGAAGGATCACAATATACTGCCTCTATATGCAAATGTCATCTATGTATACATGTAATATTGTATTCCATAAATGTGTAGATAATTGAATTTATCTCAAAAAGCATGAAGAAGAGCTTACCTTAAAAAGAGAGAATCTAACACAATTCAAGGGAAACTTAGCAAAGACTCCTAAAACTAAACTTCCCCCTTTTTATCACCAAACGTCTACACCTACAGTAAAGTATCCTCGATTTCCAACACTTTAGTGAAAATATGAAAGAAAGCATAATTCTTAACATAATCAGTATACTGATTGGTAAACTATTATAATTAAATAACATGAGATTCAAAGAAAAAAGAGGTTCAATTATGTCACTTATGATTAGTAATATTTGTGTCTTAACTATATTTTGCATATTTTTCAGTTTTTTTAAAGAGTTTTTTATTGTGGTTTTATTTCTTAAATTGCTGTAAAACATATTGAAAGTTACATCCTGTCTGTCTGTTTACTGTACAAAGTGAAAAGAGTATTTTAAATAGATTATTTACAAGGAAAAAGATTGAAACGTACAAATGCTGACGCTGATTGATGCCCACACACCGAGGTCTCTCTCGTCTGCTCCGTCTTATTTCCTCGTCGTTTTTATCCCGTTATCCTTCTTTTAAACCGTCACGCTGACAATAGTTGAAACCTGAACTTTCAAAAATGTGTGCGTATAAAAATTCCAGAGATCCCAATCTATTTATTAGGAGAGTCATGGTGGAGGGGGGGTAAGATCTGTTTGATTTAAGGCTAACTCGATCGGTCTCATTTTGTCCGTGTTATCTGTGGAGCAAGGAGTTGAACCTATGAGCAGTTATCAGTCGCGAGAAAAAACAGCTGTTATCATTCAATCGTGATTTCCCTCCTCTCACACACACACACACACACACACACACACACACACACACACACACACACACACACACACCACACACACACACACCACACACACACACACACACACACACACACACACACACACACACACACACACACACACACACACACACACACACACACACACACACACACACGCCAAACCTCTTACATTGATGCATTTAGATTAGGGGTTATAAGATGACAATAGATCCCTCTGCGCAATCTTCCCGCAGCCCTTGAACTTCTGACACCGCCAGCTAATCGAAGATCAAACCTTTAAATACAGGCTTCTTTATTCTGTACAGTAATGTGACGAGTCATCATCAGACAGCTCCAGGTGGGAAGGGGGGGGAGGGGGTGATAAGGCATGTCTACTGAGTGCCTGAACCACTGAACACTGAGTAAAAAGGTCCTGTGCAATAAATGAGGCCTCTCAAGCGGAAAAAAAAGACGATATCTACATCAAGATTTCGCAAGATGGCCGTCTTCCGGTACGCCTCACATAGACACCTTCCTCAGCTCGAGCTTTAACGGGCATCATTGTAGCAGGAACACATCTCCTACACGTTGTTGCATTTCGCCAACATAACAGTGCATATATTAATCACACACAATGTATAAACAAAGCTTTCTGTAAGTGGAAAGTAACGCCTTCAACGAGATACCGGTTGAGAGGCCCAAACAAAGAAATAAAGAAAGAGTGCCCGGTGACTGTTATCATGTAACCTGAATAAAATAAGTGGTCTAAAGGCTGCCGTGTTGTGAAGTGAGACGCTATCCGTGACATCCTGAATGCATTTTGTACGTAAAGCGCTGCTCAAACTCGCCGTATGAAATCTTTGTTATATAAAACGTCTCTTGTAATCGAAACCATCGGCTGCAGCAGCGCCTCGAGCTTGATGTCAATTTTCACTGCAGTTTTTTTGGCTCATACACGAAAAGAGATCAGCCTGAAAAACATGCCGGTCCGTCCCTGGTTTGAACCGGAGGACACATCCACTGGAGACCATTAAGGCACGTCCTTCCTCTCGGTATCTTCAGCTTCGGGACGTCGTTCACAGTAACACAAGTTACAAGTTGTGTTTTAAGTGTGTGTGATTTGTAATGTCTTGAAAACATCAAATAAAGGATCTGTCAGCTCTAAACGTGTCCAGATCCAGTTCTTTTCACAAGGAGCAAATAAATGTATGAGCATGGCGTGAAAACAGAATTAAAAAGGAGTTAAGGTCTCAGTCTTTCTGGCTTGTTGGTTGAACTTAACAACCGTCCTGCTTGCACACAGGATTACAACTACAGATACTAAAACAGTAGTGAAATATTATACCAACAAAACATAAAACAAGAAAAAACTTATCATAAGCAGTGTTATCATAATCAGCACTAACATCTTTGTTATTCACAATATTATTATTGTTGCTCTTATACCCTGTTTTTTTCTATAAGAATATCTTATTATCATTCATGATTGTATTTCTCATAGCAAACAAGATCAGCTCTTTTGGCGTCAGAGAGGAGGAGGAGGAGGAGGAGGAGGAGGAGGAGGAGGAGGAGGAGGAGGAGGAGGAGGAGGAGGAGGAGGAGGAGGAGGAGGAGGAGGAGGAGGAGGAGGAGGAGGAGGAGGAGGAGGAGGAGGAGGAGGATTGGGGGTAAAACATGAAAATGTCTCCTTTTCTGCGGTGGGGCAGATGGGCAGCTCGTTCTCGCAGTTTTTCCTCAAGAGCACTCAGCGGGAGATCTCTCAGACAGCCATCGCACCAGACAGTCCAATATCAAACTGAGATGAAGTGTCACCTCTCTAAGAACATCGACTTCTGCCTCATGAAATGACAGGCTTGGAGTTGAGTGCGTTTGCGATGTTAAGGGGAATGTTGATTGACTGTGTTTGGACATAAAAGTAGCTTTGCCCGTTACTGAGAGAGAGGGTTAACGTCCCACAGCTCCCGTTACTGAGAGAGAGGGTTAACGTCCCACAGCTCCCGTTACTGAGAGAGAGGGTTAACGTCCCACAGCTCCCGTTACTGAGAGAGAGGGTTAACGTCCCACAGCTCCCGTTACTGAGAGAGAGGGTTAACGTCCCACAGCTCCCGTTACTGAGAGAGAGGGTTAACGTCCCACAGCTCCCGTTACTGAGAGAGAGGGTTAACGTCCCACAGCTCCCGTTACTGAGAGAGAGGGTTAACGTCCCACAGCTCCACAGGGGGTCCAGATTTGACCCTTTTCAATTTCACAGCTCTCTCCCCTTTCACCTTGCTGTCCCAATATGGGGCTAGAGTTGCAGTGTGTTGGACAGTGTCTGTAAAATCATCCCTGATCTCCTAACACAACACGCCTCGATTTCCTCCCTTCCTCCTCCCCTCGCCCATCGTCCACTCCTAACTCGCCACTTGTCGATCTCACACGTCAGACTCAATGCTGGACAGTTTCTCGTACACATGGCCATTGCTTCCATTGAAGGGACGCGGGGGGCCGACCCCCAGCATGGAGCCGTGGTGGTTCATCCCACCGAGGCTGAGCTCTTTTGGGAACCGGGGCGTCACGTTGGACATCACCCCGGCCGTGGCGGACGCCGGCAGATATGACGTCGTGCTCATCTGGCTCCTGAAGTCACTTCGGCTTGGTTTGGGAACTTGTTGCTGCGGCTGCTGCTGCTGCTGCTGCTGCTGCTGCTGCTGCTGCTGCTGCTTTTTCATGTAATATTGTTTGGCTCCGTGCATCAGACACTGGTCGTCGCCAAAGGTGGGTATAAAGGGGTTTTGGTTGACCCTGTCTGGGTAAAGAGATTTGGATAAAGAGAACCCTCCGCCGCCTCCTCCCTCCATCAGAGACCTGTCCCTGTCTCGCATGTCTCTCTCTCCGATGGAGCGGCGGTGAAGGCCGTCGCCTCTGAACAAACCGAACGGTGATCCGGGTCGTTTGCGACCCTCGTAAAACAACGGGTCCCTGTCTCGTTCCCGTTCTCTCTCCGAGCCCCCGTGGCGCTCGAATATGTGTGCGAAGGGGCTGGTACCCTCCATGTAGCGCTCTTTCTCCTTCAAGCTAACACTCCTGGGTGGGGGCAGCATCCCTCCCATAACTTGGCTCCCCATTCCCCCCCCAACACCTCCCAGACCCATTAAACTGCCCATCCCGCCCGACTCCTCTTTCTGAAGGTCAACAAAAGCGTCGTACGAGTGCTGCCGCCTCAGTGGTTTCCCGAGTCCTCCGCTCTTCCTCCTCTGCTGGCCCTGAGATTGAGGGCCCATAACTCCACCTCCCCCACCAACGCCATTCCCTCCCCCCATCTGTTCCAAGAGGTGGTTGTTGTCCTCGCTGATATCGTAGAGGTTTCCTGTCTTTTTACAACCCTCGCAGCGCATGCAGGTCGCAGAGCTTGGGCGGCTGTTACCTCCGCCTCCCGAAGTCCCACAGCTCATACCACCACCGTACACACCGCCGTGCATCGACATCTGCTTGCCTCCCCCGCTAGCCCGACAGTTCCTGCACTCCCACTCTCCCCCTGCCAGCCCAGATCCTGCCACACCACTCTTTAAATCTGACTTTTTGGGTTTGCTTTGCTTAAGAAAGTCATCCACTGGAACCAGGGTGGTGCAGTTGCCTCCATCTCTACTTCCAGGGCCTTCCGTCAGGTCCACATGTTCCCACTGAGGAACGCCCTCTTTGGGCCGAAACTGGTCCAAATAGAAATCCCTAACGCTTTCCTTCTCTCTGAACATGTAGTTCCCGTCGCTGTTCCCACTTAAGCCTCTCTTCCGTTCTGGGGGCAGCAGCGGTGGGGAGGCGGAGCGGTGGCCGTGGTAGTGATGGTGGCTGATGTGGTAGGGTTTCCTCCGGTAGCCCAGCTCGATCTCGTCCAGCTCCCGTCTGGACTTGGCAGAGGCCGGCCTTTTTTTCAGGCTATCGCGGTACTGTTTGCGTTTCTTGGCGTTACCCTCCAGGTTTCCGTAAGTCACCGTGTGCGTGGATATATCCGAGACGTCCGACCGTCGATCCATGTTCCCATCGTCGTCTCCTCTTCCTCCGCAGTATCCGTGCCCGGGGATAAACGTGGAGCTTGAGGCGCCTCCCTTAAAGGAAAACTTCCCATAAAGGTCCGGCAAGCCTCCCTTAAAGCTCTGCCCTGAGGGAGGAGTTTGTCCGGACAGCAAATCAAACTTGCTCATGTTCCTGTGGGTCAATGCCGAGCAGGGCTGGGTGGTGAAAATAGGCGCCACCCCTCCTCCAATGCTCTCACAATCAAACATCCCCCCTTCCAGAGAACTTGCGCTACCCAAGCTATGAGGCCTGGGCGGCGGCGGTCCGCTGAGCCCTAGCGTCGAGCCGTGGTGGTGCAGGTAGTGATCCTGGTATAGATTGCTGTCCTTCAGGTGGAGGTTACCAAACGTCCTCTCCACCTCGCTGATGTAGTCGCTGAACATGTTGTCTTCCGGTGGGTACGGCGGCTTGCAGTCTGAGTGTCCCGCCAAGCTGCGCCGGTGTTCGGAGATGTCGTAGACGGAGGATTCGCGGCGGATGAAGTCCAGCGCGCTGTGGGGCGATCCGTTCACTCCGGACAGGGACGCCATGTTCTTGGCGGTTCGTAGGAGGCGCATGATGTTGGAGTGGGTGTTGTTCATGGTGGCGGATGGGGAGTTCAACGCCGAGCTGTTGCTCTTCTCCTCGATCTGCACCCCGTGGATGCAGCTCCAGATGCCCTGTGGGGAAACACAGGCAAGGGGAAGCATTAGGGAGGGAACATTCTGTAAATAGTGTACCAATATTGTATTTTAACGGCACAAGACGTGGATGTGACACGTTTCTTTGTGCATGTAAATGGTCTGTTAGACCTTCCACATGCTCTATGGTCAGTGTAGGAGCTATAGTTGGTAAAAATGGACATGATCTACTGTGTATTGTGAACGTGTTTTGAAGAATGCAGCTGCTTGCCAAAAACACGAGAATGCAGCTGTTTTGCATCCTGACTGACGTAAAGCTACTAGAAGTTCTTTTTCACTGATTCTGTCAATACCTTACTCAATACATCGGTAACAACAGATGCAACGTGTGATTTATAGACAGTAGCGTGTTGTACATTAGCTGGTGTGCAAGTGAGCGTACAGTAAGAAGATTCAGGGAGGACAGTGTGGCTGCACGGCAGATGATAAAGGAAAAGGGGCTGTAGGGTCCTGCAGGTCAATACCTTTAATCAATGTGATTAGAATTCAGCTGAACAATATCCTCCGGTAGTTATTAAACACCTCAGTTCCACTGCGGCGAACACAATCTCCCTTTCGAAAGAGAAAGGCTTAACCAAGGAGACGGCGGCTGAGCGTTACAGTGGCAGAAAGACAAACTGCTCCATTTGCATTCAGTGATGTACGATACAATATTCAGATAAAAATGGATGTACAGAGGAGAGCAAACCAGGCATGACGGATGGGGACGGTGCAGCATCTGATCAATTCAAAACAATGATTTTGCTCCGTTTTTCTGGACGTCTTTAGAATGAAACAAAGGGATGCTTTCGGTCACTTTTATAGGTCACCTATTATCCAAAATCCACTTTATCATGTCTCTTCTACATCAACATGTGTCCCCTCTTCTTCATGTCTCTTCTACATCAACATGTGTCCCCTCTTCTTCATGTCTCTTCTACATCAACATGTGTCCCCTCTTCTTCATGTCTCTTCTACATCAACATGTGTCCCCTCTTCTTCATGTCTCTTCTACATCAACATGTGTCCCCTCTTCTCCATGTCTCTTCTACATCAACATGTGTCCCCTCTTCTTCATGTCTCTTCTACATCAACATGTGTCCCCTCTTCTTCATGTCTCTTCTACATCAACATGTGTCCCCTCTTCTTCATGTCTCTTCTTCATCAACATGTGTCCCCTCTTCTCCATGTCTCTTCTTCATCAACATGTGTCCCCTCTTCTTCATGTCTCTTCTACATCAACATGTGTCCCCTCTTCTTCATGTCTCTTCTACATCAACATGTGTCCCCTCTTCTTCATGTCTCTTCTACATCAACATGTGTCCCCTCTTCTTCATGTCTCTTCTACATCAACATGTGTCCCCTGTTCTTCATGTCTCTTCTTCATCAACATGTGTCCCCTCTTCTTCATGTCTCTTCTACATCAACATGTGTCCCCTCTTCTTCATGTCTCTTCTACATCAACATGTGTCCCCTCTCCTTCATATCTCTTCTACATCAACATGTGTCCCCTCTTCTTCATGTCTCTTCTACATCAACATGTGTCCCCTCTTCTTCATGTCTCTTCTTCATCAACATGTGTCCCCTCTTCTTCATGTCTCTTCTACATCAACATGTGTCCCCTCTCCTTCATATCTCTTCTACATCAACATGTGTCCCCTCTTCTTCATGTCTCTTCTACATCAACATGTGTCCCCTCTTCTTCATGTCTCTTCTACATCAACATGTGTCCCCTCTCCTTCATATCTCTTCTACATCAACATGTGTCCCCTCTTCTTCATGTCTCTTCTACATCAACATGTGTCCCCTCTTCTTCATGTCTCTTCTACATCAACATGTGTCCCCTCTTCTTCATGTCTCTTCTTCATCAACATGTGTCCCCTCTTCTTCATGTCTCTTCTACATCAACATGTGTCCCCTCTTCTCCATGTCTCTTCTACATCAACATGTGTCCCCTCTTCTTCATGTCTCTTCTACATCAACATGTGTCCCCTCTTCTTTATGTCTCTTCTACATCAACATGTGTCCCCTCTTCTTCATGTCTCTTCTACATCAACATGTGTCCCCTCTTCTCCATGTCTCTTCTACATCAACATGTGTCCCCTCTTCTTCATGTCTCTTCTACATCAACATGTGTCCCCTCTTCTTCATGTCTCTTCTACATCAACATTTGTCCCCTCTTCTTCATGTCTCTTCTACATCAACATGTGTCCCCTCTTCTCCACGTCTCTTCTACATCAACATGTGTCCCCTCTTCTTCATGTCTCTTCTACATCAACATGTGTCCCCTCTTCTTCATGTCTCTTCTTCATCAACATGTGTCCCCTCTTCTTCTTGTCTCTTCTACATCAACATGTGTCCCCTCTTCTTCATGTCTCTTCTACATCAACATGTGTCCCCTCTTCTTCATGTCTCTTCTACATCAACATGTGTCCCCTCTTCTTTATGTCTCTTCTACATCAACATGTGTCCCCTCTTCTTCATGTCTCTTCTACATCAACATGTGTCCCCTCTTCTCCATGTCTCTTCTACATCAACATGTGTCCCCTCTTCTTCATGTCTCTTCTACATCAACATGTGTCCCCTCTTCTTCATGTCTCTTCTTCATCAACATGTGTCCCCTCTTCTTCATGTCTCTTCTACATCAACATGTGTCCCCTCTTCTTCATGTCTCTTCTACATCAACATGTGTCCCCTGTTGTCCATGTCTCTTCTACATCAACATGTGTCCCCTCTTCTTCATGTCTCTTCTACATCAACATGTGTCCCCTCTTCTCCATGTCTCTTTTACATCAACATGTGTCCCCTCTTCTCCATGTCTCTTCTACATCAACATGTGTCCCCTCTTCTTCATGTCTCTTCTACATCAACATGTGTCCCCTCTTCTTCATGTCTCTTCTACATCAACATGTGTCCCCTCTTCTTCATGTCTCTTCTACATCAACATGTGTCCCCTCTTCTCCATGTCTCTTCTACATCAACATGTGTCCCCTCTTCTTCATGTCTCTTCTACATCAACATGTGTCCCCTCTTCTTCATGTCTCTTCTACATCAACATGTGTCCTCTCTGTGGAAAGAGACTCTGAAAGTTTCAGGAACAAAGATTCTCTCTCTTTTTGTCCTGATCCATTTCTATAAAAACCTGTCTGAAAATGAGCTGATCAGATTTTGGCCACTTTATGATGTCATAACGATGTGTTGTCTTGTGTAGCCATTAGCCAATCAGCAACCAAGGTAACCCCCCCCCCCCCCCCCCTATCACCTGAATCTCCTCCTAGAGCACCATTGAGTTCTTTGTAACCAAATCTCTCTCAGAGGGGCGTGGGGAGGGGCTCCTGATTTTCATCTAAAGTAACAGACAGAGAATCAGCACTTTGGAAACAGGGCTGAAACAGAGGGGGTTATGGGATGCTGCAATGATCTATTTCAGCCAATCAGAGACAGGCTCTGGATATATCTGAGACCTAAAATGAAGTAATGAAAAACAGTATAATAGGGGACCTTTAAAAGACCAGCTGACCTGCAGATGCAGAGGTCAAGACAAGAGGTCAGCTGGCTGTCAAATCTTCTCCGTTGTTAAGCTACGACTCCTTCAAGCATTCACCGTTTATCCACTAATTCGACTCGTTGACCCTCGGCTCTCCTTTCCCTAGTTTCTGCTAGTTAATTAGCGACATGGACAGTGCCTGCATTGCAGCAAAAAGAGGCCTTCATCCTTCATTCCGCTTTAATGGATAACTGTATTACTTATTTCAATTTCACAGTCTGCACACCCGAGTATATAAAGCCGGACAATGGCTACAACTTAAAGAAGTTCACATAAACAGAAAAGACTTCAGAAATATGGGTTTTGGATGAGAGTCTTGCAGAGGAGGACAACTGAATACACCAAACCAGGTTTTTTAACCCATATTTCAATGTTTATCTTGTCTTTCTCCGTCTCATCTGTGCTTCCTTCCTCCATCTGCCTGTTGATATAATTTGTCATCACTTCATATCTTTTGTTTTCCTTCTTTTATTGTCTTGATTACACCGCACCTGCTGCCAAAGCTGTCACGTCTCTTCGCTCTCATGGCATCTATGACAACAATCCATTTCGGTCAGACTTTTCCAGAAGCATCCACAATCATTTTAGTAAGACATCCCCCACTTTTGGCTATGTTTTGTATTCAGCATTGACGGTGTGTAAAAGCAAGTTAAGGATGAATATGTTTTTAGGGTTTCAAGCTTTTTCTTAGCTTTTGTTTCATGCTTTTATGCCGTGATCCACCATCTCCCCAAACTGCCATATATTAGCTGCCCACTGCTTCTAGTACAAGGATGGTTTAAATTCAGATGCCACACTTTGCAGTGCGAACATGTGTTTGCTTTCAATAAAGAGTGTTTTCATTCGCATCCTCCATCTCTACTTCTAATAGAGGAACAAAGAACTGTTGTACATTAAATTCTTGGGCATTTAACAAAGAGATTGCTGCTTCGTATTCAGCAGCAGATTTTGTCTACCCTACATGCCCACAGAAAGTAACAGTTGGCAGATTGCTGCCGGGCCCAGAGCTACAGTCGCTGATTATTTGGGCAGGATGTGTGAATAGCAATAACTGTGGCCTGAGGGTTCGTAGGAATTTTCAATCCACCCGGGATCGCAGCAAAATCTATAAGTGATTACACTGGTACAGAGAGGCAGGAAATCAACAAATAACTAGCTGCAGCTGTAATGTACGATTGCATATAGAGTGCCTTTTGTACATGCTACCGCTAATCATTTCTGTAAGAACATGGCGCCTAATGCGAATGAACCGAGGGCTGAAAGAAGGAGCGATTAAACCTCTAATACATTTACAGGTCTTAAGTCATTAGGGGCTTTTTAAATCGATATAATTAATTTGTCTCAGTGTTGCAGGTGTGTCCTGTGGAGCAGGTAGCCGGGGGGGGAGGGGGACGCTAACCGGGCATGAAGACCGTGACGTGGCTCACGCCAACCGTGACAGATGTCTCATTTTTTACACTCCAGAGCTTAAATGTTAATTGCGAGCAACAATAACAATAAAGTGTATTGGATTATGCTGTGAAATTAAAAAAGCAGAATCAGGAAAGGGAGGAGGGGGGAGTGGAGAAATGTATATCTGGCCTGAGAAAATACTCGGGACGGAGACAATGTGAGGCATTGGTCGAGGAATGTGGGAAGATGATAACACGTCATTTCCACCATTGTTTTTTGCAATTCCTGAGCTATGGTGGCTGGCAGGTGCAAAAGCGCTACATCGGCCCAAAACACACGCAATGAGAAACATATCCACCAACGTTTTCAAAAAGCGCTGCATAAACGAAACACTGCAAATATCATCACTTTTTTGTGTCCCTTTTCTCCAACTTTTTGCAGCGTTTTTTGTTGTTGCAGTGTTTCGTTTATGCAGCGCTTTAAGTAAAGAAGCGCATATATCGTCAATTTGGTGAAGATGTTTCTTCATTTTCATGCGTTTTGGCTCATTTGTGATTCCATATTTGCATTGTTTCTTAAACTGCCGCACGTTTCTCCATATGAAAATGTTTTTGTGCAAACCTGTCGGCCACCCTAAGAGCTCCGTATGCTTCATATGCAAATGAGCACTTGATGAATATTTCCCCTGAATAAACCTGAATCGTCTGGTTGTTATTCTGTTCATTTGTCGAAGGTGATGTCTGTAAATGGGAGCAATCAACCAATGTTACACACAAGCATAATTGCTTTCTAGATCCAGACCCCCATTCAGTGTAATGATGTAATCATCAAAAACAACACCAAGCAGCCTGTCGTTTGGAAATGAGAAGACATTTTTAGCAACTGATATTTCACGCTCCTTCTACACAAACAGACACAAGCATAAACAAGGTGACAACGTAAAATTAACACCGTACAAATAATCAAAGTTGGGCACTGGAGCGTAATATTAGAGCAGGGAGGGGAGAATGTGATTTTTTTCTGCTTTGCTCTCTTGGTACAAGCAGCCCCGGTATATCAACGTGTGTGTGTGTGTGTGTGTGTGTGTGTGTGTGTGTGTGTGTGTGTGTGTGTGTGTGTGTGTGTGTGTGCGTGTGTGTGTGTGCGTGTGTGTGTGTGTGTGTACACGTGTGTGTGTGTGTGTGTGTGGTGGGCTGTAAATTAGCCACGTGGTTTAGCCCGCAGCGGTTCACCTTCAGAGGCAGTGAATTACACCGGAGCCATGTCAAAACAATTGGAATGCAAATCAAATACCTCGGGGTGACTTTGGTCTCCTGGGATCCAGTAATCTACCCTCTCCGGTTGTGTGGCTGATTTTTGTTGAGAGAAATATTGATTTTGGCTCAAGACTTTGTAAATATTTACCCCTGCGGACGTCAGAAAGGCCTGACCATGGAAACAAAAATGGAAAAAAGCCCCCGTGTCTATTTGGAAGTGACGTTTGGTTACAGACTGATGATTTAGGGACGAATAACGAAGGTCACTTTACAGACAAGGAGGAATCAGTGTCACTGAAGTAAATAAATAAAAAATGTCGTTGTTTTGTTAAAGTGGCAATAGACCACGTTTGTACTTGACCTATCATTATGTAGTTAATGTTTATTGCACAATGAAATGGTTGTAGAATAATGATACCATGATTGCAACCTCCCTTTCAAAATAAAAAGCCCAGGAAATAAACACATGCATTACTGACTAACAGACTTCATTTTATTTTGTTTTTATTCCATACTGGTTCACTCCCTTTACTGTTATAGTTATATAACTCTATTGTATTACATTTGGAATTTTTTTTGTAGGTCTTTTCTGTTATTTTAGCACCTGTCAGTCATCTGAGAAGCGCCTGGAACAGTTTAAAAAGGTGCTATACAAAATAAACCTTGATTGATTGATGATTTATTGATTAATTTTAACAACCTTAGTCGACCTTCATCATGTCGGCCCCTAATTTATGTGTTGTTTTGTCCGTCTGTCTGACTGTTTTAGTTTTTTTGGTTTGTTTTACTTCAGTTTGTGTTGTGTCTCGTCAAATGTGTTAGTTTTGTTTATGTATTTTGTCTGTCATTTCCTGTTTTATTTTGTACTTACCGCTTGTCTTTCATTTCAGGCCCTGTTTCTTCCTCCCCCTGTGTGTTTTCCCGCCATCATCAGTGTCTGCCCCGCCCCCGATTGTTTCCACCTGTTCCCTCTCACCTCATGCTTAAATAGTCCTGTCTCTCCCCTGTCCTGTGTCAGTTCATCTTGTTTGTTTCCACCTGTTCCCTCTCACCTCATGTTTAAATAGTCCTGTCTCTCCCCTGTCCTGTGTCAGTTCGTCTTGTTTGTTTCCACCTGTTCCCTCTCACCTCATGTTTAAATAGTCCTGTCTCTCCCCTGTCCTGTGTCAGTTCATCTTGTTTGTTTTCCACCTGTTCCCTCTCACCTCATGTTTAAATAGTCCTGTCTCTCCCCTGTCCTGTGTCAGTTCCTCTTGTTTGTTTCCACCTGTTCCCTCTCACCTCATGCTTAAATAGTCCTGTCTCTCCCCTGTCCTGTGTCAGTTCATCTTGTTTGTTTTCCACCTGTTCCCTCTCACCTCATGTTTAAATAGTCCTGTCTCTCCCCTGTCCTGTGTCAGTTCGTCTTGTTTGTTTCCACCTGTTCCCACTCACCTCATGTTTAAATAGTCCTGTCTCTCCCCTGTCCTGTGTCAGTTCGTCTTGTTTGTTTCCACCTGTTCCCTCTCACCTCGTGTTTAAATAGTCCTGTCTCTCCCCTGTCCTGTGTCAGTGCGTCTTGTTTGTTTCCACCTGTTCCCTCATGTTTAAATAGTCCTGTCTCTCCCCTGTCCTGTGTCAGTGCGTCTTGTTTGTTTCCACCTGTTCCCTCATGTTTAAATAGTCCTGTCTCTCCCCTGTCCTGTGTCAGTGCGTCTTGTTTGTTTCCCCGAATGGTCGTGCCAAACCTCAGCTCAGAAAGGATCACTTTCTCTCATGTCAGGTTTTGTTGTTTTGTTTATTTTATAGGCTTAAGTTTTTATTAAGTCCTCTTTTTGTTACGTTGAGTTTTTTCCTCCTTATGAGCGCCTTTTGTTATTTCCACCACCTACTCTGTTAAGAGGGATTACCTGATTTGTGAAAAAATAAATACACTTTTTTTATTACATTCAAGACTTTGTCTCTGGGTCGTGCATTTGGGTTCATCAGTTTGTGCCGAGGTCTTGACAGTTTGTTCTGTAAAGCGACCTTGGGTCCCCTGAAAGGCGCTATATAAATCTAAGTTATTATTATTATACTATCATTATTATTATCATGTCTAAGCCCTTTTCCTCCCCCAGTACCTCCACTCCCTGTTGGAGGAGCTTGGGACCTAAGATTTACATCGACATAACTACACTGTAGCAATGTACGAATGACAAGAAAAGCCTTGAATCTTGAAAATGAATCATTTCTGGAACTTTATCGTGTCTGAGCCCTTTTCCTCCCTGTTGGGAAAATACTGAATGTACTCTTCTAATATCAGAGTACACATGATAACAAAGGCCCTACGTAGCTGTGTACGTAGCCAGATGTATGATTGCATAGAAGAAGCTCATGAGACACTGTGTTGAACATACGATAGCTATGTTCAACGATTAAACATGATGACACAGCCCCTAGGGAGATAGACATATGACTGTCATGTTTATTGCTTACGTGGGTCTCAGCTAATCTGAAGTAAACATTGAATACTGCTTTCTATTCCTCCATCTTGTGACTGTGTAACTCCCTCTCTTGTATATCAGCATGTGAAGGACACTGTTCAGGAACTAGTTGATGCTCTGTATGGGATGACTACTTCCTGTCTTGAGAGGATAATAAATACATGGATCCTGATTATTGAAGCTCAAGCCTCCCTTCCTCACCCTGCTGATGGAGAAGACGAAGCCCGGCTGTCCGGAGCAGGTTCCCATGAAGCAGAAGCGCAGCTGCCAGTAGAACCAGTGCTCGCAGATGAAGGTGATGAGCGACAGAGCCATGGCGGCGCCCAGCATGTAGAAAACACCCGCCATGTTGTCAATATCCAGCTGACTGGACATCACCTCGTTCTTCTCGTGGTGGCAGATTCCCGTCAGCCAGAGCGACTCCAGCTCCTCCATCTCACCTGGAGGATAAGAGAAGATTAAGACTTGTGTAGGAGTAACAAGAAGTTACAATAAACACAGGGGTTTATCTGGAAAAATATAGTATGAGGGCAATACTGTGGCGCTGATTTTGTAAATAAGATGTATCAGTTCTGGCGAGAACATGACGCCCGTAAACAAGATGGCGCCTCAAACAACAACGTGGGAGCTCCGTAAAAACAGAGCTGTCTAACAGTCTATTTAACACAATTTATACATTTTTGGAGTAATTATAATGTTTTTGACGAACAGAAATATTGTTTTCTGGCATCACTTAAAAATGTTGGTATGAGGGCGCACGCTGAAAGTTACCCGGTTTAGACAAAACCCTGAAACATAATAATAATTTGCTTATTTGCCGGCTCATAGAGTCCTATTGTGAACCCGGAAATGTTGAGTACCCAAAAGTTTTATGTAAGAAATGTATAGTACGGGTCCCCAGCACATAGAACATGCCGGATGCTAACTTCCTCATATTTTCACAACAAGCATAAGTGCATCTGCAGACAATAGCTAACAAATGGCTTCACCGATTTGGACAATTTCTGAGTGGTTTTCGAGATTATTGAGGATGTTGAATAAAACTCTGACATTTTAAAGACGAATATTAGCAGTTTTAAGTCCCCTAAAACGTTGAAATTGACCGAAAATTAGTCAAAATCAGCCCACCAGATGTACAAATATGGTCCCACTTATCCAGAAAATGTTAATTTTTAAACATGTTTTTGACGTAATTGATGTAACACTTGCGATTTTTATATTGTTCATTTTATTTGTTTTAAAAAAAGTTATTTAGAGAATATTTGTTATAATGCTTTTTCAGGTTAAAGGAGGTGAGACAGGATCATGTCAGGAATTGAAATAAAGAAAGGGTGGGAAACTATAAAGGAGGATGTGATGTAACATCAGGATGGTGTATTTGGAGGACACGAGGGATGGAGATATGATGCAACAGAAGAAGAAGAGAGGAGGGAAGATGGCGGGCAGACGGTGGGATAAAGGAGGGGGGGGCTTTGAATGTTGCAGTTCTGCAGACAGGAACAGATAAAGCCATTGGTCACATGTTAATTATCTTTTTTTGCTCTCATTCCTGCAAATAATTGAGTCTTTTTACAGCTTTAGGCGTCAATGCAAACTGTAAGGAAACAAGTCTTAATTTGTATGCCTGTGCACGTATGAGTGTGTGTGTGTGTGTGTGTGAGTGTGTGTGTGTGTGTGTGTGTGTGTGTGTGTGTGTGTGTGTGTGTGTGTGTGTGTGTGTGTGTGTGTGTGTGTGTGTGTGTGTGTGTGTTGGATGCTGGTCCCTGAGCTTCTGGTCTCTTTTGTGGGTCACCTTCTGTTTCATCACGAGCTGTTCCCTATCAAAGCCGAGCGAGCAGAACAGGCGTCGCTTAATTAATCATACATTCAGCCGGTGTCGCTGCACGTCAGCTCTGACTGGCCTCTGAGCAGAGAGGAGCAACACAGCATACAGAAAAGTAAACGAGAGATACCACACACACTCTTACACACAGACAGTCCCACAGCAGCCACTACTTTATATCTGCTGATAAACTAGTGCTGAAAGTACATTTAAACTAACGTACTTAACTCTTATTTTGACATAATTGGACTTTGCTAAGTATTTCCATTTAATTATACGTGATACTTCTACTCCCCTAACTGTTTTACTTTTAGACTCCCTTGCAGCCCTGGTTTTAGCACCGCCTTGTGAGTCCGGTGTGCTTCTAGGCCACCAGGAGGGAGAGCGTGGTGAGGCGCGGTGGAGTGACATTGAGATCCTGAGAGGGGTGAGACAGGGAGACTGAGGGGGTGAGACAGGGAGACTGAGGGGTGAGACAGGGAGACTGAGGGGTGAGACAGAGAGAGAGAGGGGGGTGAGACAGGGAGACAGAGAGAGAGAGGGGTGAGACAGGGAGACTGAGGGGTGAGACAGGAGACTGAGGGGTAGACAGGGAGACTGAGGGGTGAGGCAGGGAGACTGAGGGGTGAGACAGGGAGACTGAGGGGTGAGACAGGGAGACTGAGGGGTGAGACAGGGAGACTGAGGGGTGAGACAGGGAGACTGAGGGGTGAGACAGGGAGACTGAGGGGTGAGACAGGGAGACTGAGGGGTGAGACAGGGAGAGGGTGAGACAGGGAGACTGAGGGTAGACAGGGGAGACTGAGGGGTGAGACAGGGAGACTGAGGGGTGAGACAGGGAGACTACTTCCACGGCGAGCAAACCCATAGTCAAACACACACACACACACACACACACACACACACACACACACACACACCACACACACACACACACACACACACACACACACACACACACACACACCACACACACACACACACACACACACACACACACACACACACACACACACACTTGTTCCATGTTATTTAGTTGACACTTTTATCTGGCAGTATGAAAACAATAGACCTTGTTGAACATTAAAGCATGGAAACATACACGCAAATACAAATATGAGCATAACGTTTCATTTAAACCAGCTTCCACGCTGTTTTGCCCTTTCAATATCTCTTAATAAAGTATACATATTGTTCTCACACTCCACCTCGTTGCATTAACCTTTAAATAAAAAAATGTCAACTTGTACAATAGTGTCCTATGTGTATATTCTATATCTTTTAGTAGTAGGTTGGTCTAACTTATTCTGTATATGGTATGATCAATGAATTGTTAACAAGCTGCTGTAACAAAACTATTTCCCAATTTGGGATCAATAAAGTATATATCAAATTTAAACTAATATTTTAAGTTACATACCTTTTTGAAAAACACACACAGCGCTGTTACTGAACTGTATCTAGGTTGATAAAAATAAACCTGTCACAAATCTCTTCACTACTCTCTCTTTATCTCTCTAACACACACACACCACACACACACACACACACACACACACACACACACACACACACACACACACACACACACACACACACACACACACACACACACACACACACACACACACACACACACACACACACACACACACACACACACACACACACACACACACACACACACACACACACACACACACACACACACACACCCTCTTATTTCAGAAGCCTGACCCATATTCACATTTGAACATGCACACAGTCACACACACCAAACCACACACACGGTGTTGAAATACACCAGGGGCGATGCTGGCACCCTAACTGGGACGCACTGTAACAGCCCAGAGGCCCCTGGGTTCAGGATGCTCAACACGCTGAGCCCAAATAAACACACACACACACACACACACACACACACACACACACACACACACACACACACACACACACACACACACACACACACACACACACACACACACACACACACACACACACACACACACACACACACACACACACACACACACACACACACACACACACACACACACACACACACACACTAACTGAGCGAGAGTTGAGTGTTAGGAATTAAAAGATGATATGTAATTTCGATGAAGTATTACAAACAAGATTACAAACAATAATTAACTATAAGTATAAGTGAAATATTCTTTATTACATTTGAGTTAAAGGTCCCATGTCATGGCCATTTCTACTGATCATAATTCCATTGTTGAGGTCTACTAGAATAGATTTAAATTGTTCAATGTTCCAAAATCTCATTGGTTTCTCAAACAGCATCTCTGTATAGTATGTGTATTCACTCTCTGTCCTACATGGCTTGTTGGAGCTCTTGCCCCCCCCCCCTCCCTATGAGCCCTCTCTGTTCTGATCAGTCAACCACTGTTACAGCTGAAGATCAGTGTTTATGTGTTACAATGGCGTTTGGTTGTGTGTGCAACCAGAAAATGACACTAGTAATGACAAACAGATGAGAATGCTGCGTAGGGTCTGGGTGCCGTGTTGGCGGGACGTTGCGGGGCTCGCTGCTGGAGCGGACAGTGTGAGCTGGCTTACTGGTGTTGTTTCCTGGTTGCTGCGTGGGGTCTGCGAGACACCGAGGAACACAGCCTGAGCACACACACGTGAGTGGAGATCCACGGAGCTGAGGCTGAGAAAAGATAAGGTGTGTGCCGGCGAAACTCCGCGGAGTAGCGCGGCTGAGAAAAGATAAGGCTGAGTGAGTGTGTGAGGAGCTCCACAGATTGGTCCATTTGGGTATGGGCACGTCACCATACTCAGGAAGAAAACAATGGAAAAAGAGAAATGTCCAACGAGGCGTTCTGGGGCAGCATAGACAGGTCTTCTCTGTGTTAGAGTTTTACTCGCTACAGGGTGTACTTTGAGGGTTTTGACTCTGCAGACCGTTTACATGCAGAAAAACCTTCATAACACAAGGGGACGGGTGATAACCAGAAAAGCATGGCATGGGACATTTAAGAGTAAGACAAAAGTATTATTATTATACTATATTTTTGGATCCAATGGATAAAGTAGCTTTTTTTGTCAGTTTCTTTAGTTTCTAGATGTGAGAAGAAAACAATATTTGTGAAAATGTGTATTTTTTTGTTTTCTTAACTAAATGTGAAAATGTCAGTTTTTTTCTGCCCAACCCTGCGAGCTCATGTTGACTCTAAAACATTAAAACATTGACTTGTGTATGTTTTTTTAGCATGTACTACACCGGTTAGAAATGGCCGTTTTGTAACACATTCCCTTCCTTTCTCCACTCGTTGTGCGACTCATTAATGCTCCGCGCTGACAGCAATGAAGTGTTTCTGAAGAAAAAGCCCCGGAGAGCTTGGACAGTCTCCCATAAAAAGGGAAGCGTGATCATAAAGCTTCGGGCCCCCAGGGTGGAGCTACATCTCAAGTTGTATTCCTGGCTGCGCTGTGTTACCTTTTCCGTCTGCTCTGGATATATGAAAGTGGAATTACATGAGCATTTGACTCAAAGAGACAATTAATCACCACAATCACGGTCGCAGAAAGTCCCTCAGAGGAACTGTTATTTTCTTCCCCTTCCACCAGTATTCATCACAAATAGGTGACTAAAACATCTCAAATCTTTCTGTCTGGAAGCTTGTTTTTCCCTGATTAGAGTAGATGTTCTTAAAATAAGTGTATTTTTAAATTACCCACAGTGTGTTGTCCCTACAGGACAGCTCTGAGGCCTGATTTGCTCAAAGCACAAAGCACGATCAAGCGCCTCGTATTAGCTCTTAAATGGTAATTCTTGTTTATTATAACTTATTTTTCTAGGTTTGGCCATTGTTTTTATTAAAGCTTATGTAACATTCTAATAACCTGTTGAGATCTGTCAATTAAGCGAGATCACAAATTATAAACAAACCAGGTTTAGCCAAATTTGTTTGGAGGAAATTATGGTTGAATTGATGTTTGTTGCTAACATATAACACCGTTCAAAGACCAACTTCCTGGTTCCACTTCGACCTACTATACAGTTCTTATAGGGCTTTCACACCAACGCGATTCCCGTTCTAGCTCCGTGCAAGAGCTTTTCTGGTTCGGAACCGGTTTTTCTTTACAGCCCCCGTTTTGTTCACACTGCCCAGAGCCCGGCTGGTGCTGCCGCTGCTGCGTCATGACGTCACCGTTTACGTCGCTGTGTGGTTGCCTTCTAGTCACTTTGCTCAGCACTACTGCTTGTTACAACTTGTATTTGCCGTACTCGCCTTTAACTGTTAGCTCAGGTTAATCTCGCCCCCCTCCGACGTAAGTGTGACGTATGCGGTTCTTGCTTCTAGACCGACAATTATTTTTTGGTGCTTGAAACGAACCGGATTCCGGAGCTTAGAGGCGGCTCCGCTGCGATGTGAACAGGAAAAAACGGTGCTTTTCAGGCTCTAGCTCTGAACCGGCCCCGGAACCGCGTTGGTGTGAAAGCCCCATTAGTGTAGCTTTGCATATACTCACAATCTAATGGTGCGATGAACAGTTATTTACCGCAATTTGGGTGCAATAACTTTCAGTTTTCCCTACAAATAAAGGGGTTTAGACCATGCGTCTATTTGCCTATGACTCGCCTTATCAGAATTTGCTATAGCCATGTTGCTATGATCTTGTTAAGTATGTAGTTGAGAACATTGGATCTCATCCATCAACCATCTTAAGAAGTTATTCCCAAAGACCTACTAGAGCACTTTTCACGAATACGTGTCATGAATCTGACGTACTGTAGACTCTTTTTTAAAGAATGAAGCAAAATGTTCCTATAACTGAAATGAACTGACTTTTCTTAAGCAATTTGCCAGGTTTTTGCCATACTTGTAGCTAGTTGAGTACATTGGGTCTCATCCGCCACACACTTTTAAGAAAAGATTCCCTGCAGTTTTCTAGAAGTTTAAAGACATTCAACTATGTTTCCTTTTTTTCTTTTATCTTAAACAGCGTTGGAACCAGCCGCACCGTCTCCAAAGAGCTGCAAAGAGTACATTGGTTCGACATTTATGTCATGTAGTTTCAACATGTCGGAAATCTGACGCAGACTATGTTTGTGAATGAAGCCAAATGTTTTTCTAACTGAAACAAAACAGTTGGCAAAGTTAGTAAAATAAAACCACAGTTAGAATATGTCAGTAGTTTTATAAATAATGTTTTAATAGTTATATTTGTTCCTCTTTGTTTAAAAACGTAATTCCTCTAAGTGCTATCAAGAAACCCTGATTCTGACTCTTGCTTTAAGGCCACTTTAGACGAGTCATGTTCTGTTTCATCCCGAGGAAAATATTGCATTATCTCAGTGACTAACCGGAGCTTCTTTCACTTATTATCTCTAAAGACTCATCACATCAGCACAGCCGTATGCATGATAGACTCTCTGCCTCCTGAGTGCATAAATAGTACAAATACTTTGTTACTGAACTTAAGTACATGTTTCTGGTATCAGTACTTTACTCCACTACTTATTTTTCTGACCACTTTTTACTTTAACTTCTTATATTTTGAACCCAAATACCTGTACTTTCTACTTCTTACATGTTGAACACAAATACCTGTACTTTCTACTTCTTACATGTTGAACTCAAATACCTGTACTTTCTACTTCTTACATGTTGAACACAAATACCTGTACTTTCTACTTCTTACATTTTGAACACTAATACCTGTACTTTCTACTTCTTACATGTTGAACACAAATACCTGTGCTTTCTACTTCTTACATGTTGAACACAAATACCTGTACTTTCTACTTCTTACATGTTGAACTCAAATACCTGTGCTTTCTACTTCTTACATGTTGAACACAAATACCTGTACTTTCTACTTCTTACATTTTGAACACTAATACCTGTACTTTCTACTTCTTACATGTTGAACACAAATACCTGAACTTTCTACTTCTTACATGTTGAACACAAATACCTGAACTTTCTACTTCTTACATGTTGAACACAAATACCTGAACTTTCTACTTCTTACATGTTGAACACAAATACCTGAACTTTCTACTTCTTACATGTTGAACCCAAATACCTGTACTTTCTACTTCTTACATGTTGAACACAAATACCTGAACTTTCTACTTCTTACATGTTGAACACAAATACCTGAACTTTCTACTTCTTACATGTTGAACACAAATACCTGAACTTTCTACTTCTTACATGTTGAACACAAATACCTGTACTTTCTACTTCTTACATGTTGAACTCAAATACCTGTACTTTCTACTTCTTACATGTTGAACCCAAATACCTGAACTTTCTACTTCTTACCTGTTGAACACAAATACCTGTACTTTCTACTTCTTACATGTTGAACCCAAATACCTGAACTTTCTACTTCTTACATGTTGAACCCAAATACCTGTACTTTCTACTTCTTACATGTTGAACACTAATACCTGTACTTTCTACTTCTTACATGTTGAACACAAATACCTGTACTTTCTACTTCTTACATGTTGAACACAAATACCTGTACTTTCTACTTCTTACATGTTGAACACAAATACCTGAACTTTCTACTTCTTACATGTTGAACACAAATACCTGTACTTTCTACTTCTTACATGTTGAACCCAAGTACCTGTACTTTCTACTTCTCACATTTTCCAAACAGCTGGTTCCTTTAGTTTGAATGTGTGTTTGGTGGCGTGATCATTATTATTTAGAGTCATATTATTTACAGCCTATTGATTTGAACACGATCCGTGTATCCATCATTTCCTGGTCTTCTCTAAAGAAGAGGGACCAATGAAAACGTTGTCATGTTGCCGTTGTTCAGCATGGAAACATTCATTAGCTAACAATGACATTATTGTTCTATTAATATAAAGGGAGGTCAGGTACTCTTTAAAACAGCTGCTAGTTATGGGTACTTTTTACTGAAGTACATTTCAAAGCCTCTTTACTTTGACTTGAGTAAAGAAGTTTAGTCTGTACTTCTACTTTTACCAGAGTATTTTTAAACACGAGTATCTGTACTTCTTCTTGAGTAAAGGATGTGTGTACTTTTGCCATCTCTAACGGCAACCAATATTTTTTAATAAAACAGGCTCACCGTCTCCAAAGAGCATCAGGATGGCCAGGTCGACGTGCCTCTTCCAAAGCGACTCCTTCTGGATGGCGATGCCGTACCCCGTGGTGGCGAAGATGTATCCGCTGCCGATGGTCACCAGCTTACAGCCCTCATCCCGACCGGCCATGTAGTTCAGCACGGCCGCGTCGTAAATGAAAGCGTCTAGTTTGCTAATGAAAAGCAGAGAGAGAGAGAGAGGGAGGGAGAGAAAGAGAGAGGTAGGTTACAATTAATTAGCACTGAGGAGTCACACATCGCGGCTACAACAGTCCAATTAACCTGCTAAACAGCACTAAGCTGCTGATAAGCGTAATAGACTTCCTCTGCGTTTGCCAAAGGCATGAGCTGGCACACAGACCGGGAGAAAAGCAACGCTTGATGGAAAGTGAAGAGGGGGAGGAGAAGTTATATTGGAGATGTTCAGAAAAAGAAATAACATGTTTTACAAGAAACTAGGAAGAAAGCTGACTTTAGCATTGATGGAAATTAGCTAATTACTAAAGCTGGCATCAATTATCTCTCCTCCTTTTGAGATGAATGTGTTTTTATGCCTGGTCCTTGTTTATAAAAATGTATAATAATAATAATTTAAAATAATAATAATAACCAAAAAGTTATAAAACATAGTTATTATTTAATACATAATTGTATTATATTATTTTTTAAATTATTTCCATCACAAATATTAAATAAAATAAAATGTATTGCAATTATTTTTGCTGAAACTTTAATTGGAGAAATTATAAAAAAAGTATTAATTATTATTTTCATTATCATTGGTAAATATTATTTAATGATTATGGTATGTCGAATACACTTTGTAGGTCAGGGATTCATTCAAAATGGTATTTTTAACACATACTTATCTATTAACCAAATATTGCACTTTGTATAACTTAAGATTGGAAAATTAAAATCATATTATAATTCAAATTAATCAAATGTTTTCTTACGTAAATGTAAAACATCATTTTTATTTAAAGTGCATGTTTCAACATAATTAACTCCGGACAGAAGACATTTCAATATGCCTGAAGCATTTCGGGAGGCTGTGGCTCAGTGAGTAAGTGCGCTGATCTTCGAATCAGATAGCAAGTTCGAGTCCCACTGCAGTCAGCATGTCGTTGTGTCCCTGGGCAAGACACTTCACCCCAAATTGCTCCACAGTATTGTGTAAGTAAGTATAACTAAGTCGCTTTGGATAAAAGCGTCTAACAAGTGACATGTAATGTAATGTCATTTACCTATCAATACATCTATCTCCAAATGATAGTCACCACTTTGTTAAAGAGTGACTTTAGTTTCAAACCTTATTTAAAATCAAAATCTCAAAATCTGCTTTTACAAATGAAACTCAAAGCCTCGTCAGTGTGTGGTTTCTCACCCGGCCTTCAGACTCCCCAGAGCTTCGTTGACGTTCTTCTGATGAAACTTGGTCATGTATGCGTGCATCTCCGGATAGTTGTTCCTGATGTTCCTCTCCGTGCTGCCGTTTGGGACGGTGCCGAACCGGAACGGAGGCGAGAAGTCGTTTGGACTCTGGAACTAAAGGAGGAAAACGAAGCGTGGTCAATTAAAGTTAAAGGACGACGTGAAGACCAGGGTTAGGCTTTTATTTGGGGTCACATTATATTAAAAGTACAGTTTTGCAAATAATATATTTTTAGAGACCCGAAAATGAAAAATTAAATACTGAACAAAATTAGTAAAATTGAATAAAAATGAAAAAGTACATAGGGGTTGTTTGAAATGACAAATATTTACACATGTACACTCTAACACAGTGATTATCAAATGAGGGTACGCGGACCCCTAGGGGTACGTTGGGGTACTGTATGGGGGTACGTGAGATTTAAAAAAATTAAAAAAAGTTAATTAAAAAAATACCATGCATGATTACAAAAATAATCTTAGTACAATAAATTAAATAGAAAACACAATTTTATATAAAATATTCCTAGAACCACCAAGGTGCTCCTCATATAAACATGTCAAATTTGTGTATTGTATTTTATAGTTTTGCATAATATATCATTTTGTTCATTGGTTTGTTAAACAGATATTACTTCAGTTGAAAAACTCCTTGGAAAAATCAGTTTAATTTTTTTTCCGTTATGTTGTTTTTTTCATGCATAAAATGAAAATATCCTTAGTTTGTTGTAATGCATGCATGACGGAGTTAATACATCACACACTGAGGGAACATCACTATATTGGAATTATTTGTATAGGCTTTTTCGATCAAAAATGTTCGGGGTCGGTCAGGGGGTACATGACTGAAAAAAGTTAGAGAAGCACTGCTCTAACATATAGAATGTCATTTAGCAGTCAAATACATACTGTAGATGCAACAGTGCACATTTCAACCAGACTGAATGAAAGAAAACAACTAAAGAAATAAATGGAACACAGAGTAAATTAGATAAGTATACACGTTCTCGTAATAGACACAAAAACATGAACAATAAAAACATAACAATTATTCTGATCAATTTGTTGTATTATGTTATGATCGCTGTAGTGTCTGATTGGTAATCTTACACCTTATGTTTTCTTTTAACCAGGAACACTTAACTAACATGTTTTGTAGCCTGACCTTCCTCTTTCTGTATGCTGGACCATGTGAGCTATGTACCATGTATGTTCATACATTTAAATAAACACACAAAGCAAACGACAAACAAAAAGACAAAATATATCCGTGTTACCTTTTTGTCGGAGAGGCCGGTCACCTGGTCCACGTACTCCTCCTGGATCATGAAGGCGGCCAGGTTGGCAGTGTAGGAGGCGAGGAAGATGACGGCGAAGAAGGCCCACACTGACACCATGATCTTACTGGTGGTGCCTTTGGGGTTCTGCACGGGCACGGAGTTGTTGAACACGAGACCCCACAGCAGCCAGATGGCCTTACCGATGGTGAAGGACGGACCGTGAGGCTCTGAGAGAAGAAACAAAGACACGGTTTAAGAAGACGTGACGGAACAAATCGCTTTCAGACCAGAGCGAGAGAAACGCAGTTGGTCTGGTTTTACCGTTGGGTCTTTAGCTGATTCTGTTTGGAACCTGTTGATGTGTCTTCTTTCCAAACAACTCTGCCATGCCACTCAATTCCAGCACCAGACACTTTTTACGCTGCTATGGACAATCTTGCACTAATGTACATTCCCAAAGATATTGAAGTGGATATATTGATTGTTCTGTTTTTATCTTAATGTGTGCATATGTATGAATGTTTCAGTTGATAGGATATACATATTTTATACATATTTGTATACATTTTTGTATTCGGGATTGTGGGAAACGGTATTTCCATCTCTCTGTCTGTCTGTACACACAAACTGAAAGATTGACTTTGACTTTGATGTCATTCATTGTTAACGCTTGCTCAGAGTGTGAAATGTTGACTGCTTAGCGTTGTCTCAAATCGCTCATGGCGGCTGAACCCTGAGAGGAAGTGATGATCACCACTGTTAGTTAGCTGGTTAGCTAGCTAGAGTTAGCTATTGTTAACGGTGGGAAATCATCACATACTAATCAACTAACCGCGATAAAGGCAACAGTGGCTTATTTTCGACACAAGAATAGTGGTAAGATAACCACAGAAATGTGTATAGTGCTGTGTCCTAGAGCAACAGCATTCTCATATGGTATTGCAACTTCTGTTACGTAGGCAAGATGGCCGTCGTTGAGTGTGAGAAGTGTTAAAGAGATTAGCAAAAAACCTGAGCGTTTTGCAGTCATTCGTGTCCCCATCAGGAGGGATTTTAATAACTTTGTGAACACTAAACTTCTGTTTTAGTGCCAAAATCAGGTAACATTTGTCAGATACTTTGGTTTATGAACATCACGGCAGAACTAATGACATTCCCAGTAGCCTTAGCTTTATTTTAGGTCCCATTTAGCACACGTTAGCATGCTAACAAGCTAAACATCATCATGGTTGCATCTTTGTGTGCATGTTAGCATTTAGCACAGCCTCACAGAGCTGCTGGCATTGCTTCAGACTCTTGTAATTTGAAGTCACTTACATCAGGATATCACCAAAGTGTTATAATAGATCTTTTGGGGATAAATTAGAGAATGTATTGTTCAATTCATCTCGGAGCTGGCAGAAGACGGTTTTGTTCCAGCCATTATTCTGTGATCAGCAGTTGGTTCATAATGTTTGTGTGGGTGTGTGTGAGCGTGAGAGAGAGAACGTGTGTGTGCGAGTGTGTGTGGGTGTGTATTGTTGCATGGAGCTTTTGTTAACGGACAAACCGACTCTATCGTGCCAAAAAAAATCTTCCTTTGTGAAGTTTGCAAAAGAGAAAAGTTGGTTAAATGAATCGGGCAGCGACTTTTACAAATCTGCAGTCGGGCCATTGATACTTTTTTTTCAGTTTTGAATCCTTTGAGTCCAAGACTTCGATCTGCACTCTTCATGATACCAAACTCCCAGCGCGCAACGAGCAGATACAACGAGAAAATAACAGCTTTAGGGAGGAGTACATCTTCTCCAGAAAATGATGAAGGGTGAAGAAAAAGAAGCCATTGTCTAAATATAGCCACATCAGAGAGAGAGTTGTGGGAAGACATTGATTTTTTGTTTTTTGTTGTTTCTTATCTTTCTGGCTTGGGGCGGGGAGATCTAACACAAAGCTAGCCTCTTGCTGTCAGAGCCGGCGACACGTGAATTTGGGAAATATGGAAATTAATGCAAATGCATTTCAACACACCTGTACTGTACATGATTTAAAAAGAGAGCAGCATGGAGGAGGAGGAGGAGGAGAGGATGAAGTCACGGGTCAGTGAGGACGGCTGGTCTATATGTGGAGGCGGCCCGCAGTGCGATTGTGCGTCTTTGTGCACAGAAAGACAATTTGTACATCTGCAGTGGAGATGTTACAGACAGGAAGCGTTTACCTGCAGAGCTGCTGGTTTGCAGCGGTGGAAAGACGATTCTCTACTTATTTAAAGGTCCCCTATTATACTGTTTTTCATCAATATATCACAGGTCTCAGATATATCCAGAGCCTGTCTCTGATTGGCTGAAACACCAAGCAGATCATTGCAGCATTACCCATAATCCCCTCTGTTTCAGCCCTGTTTCAAAAGTGCTGATTCTCTGTCTGTTACTTTAGATGAAAATAAGGAGCCCCTCCCCACGCCCCTCTGAGAGAGATTTGGTTACAAAGAACACAATGGTGCTCTAGGAGGAGATTCAGGTGATAAGGGGGGGGGGGGGGGTTACCTTGGTTGCTGATTGGCTAATGGTTACACAAGACAAAACATCGTTATGACATCATAAAGTGGCCAAAATCTGATCAGCTCATTTTCAGACAGGTTTTTATAGAAATGGATCAGGACAAAAAGAGAGAGAATCTTTGTTCCTGAAACTTTCAGAGTCTCTTTACACAGAGGGGACACATGTTGATGTAGAAGAGACATGAAGAAGAGGGGACACATGTTGATGTAGAAGAGACATGAAGAAGAGGGGACACATGTTGATGTAGAAGAGACATGAAGAAGAGGGGACACGTGTTGATGTAGAAGAGACATGAAGAAGAGGGGACACGTGTTGATGTAGAAGAGACATGAAGAAGAGGGGACACATGTTGATGTAGAGGAGACATGGAGAAGAGGGGACACATGTTGATGTAGAAGAGACATGGAGAAGAGGGGACACATGTTGATGTAGAGGAGACATGGAGAAGAGGGGACACATGTTGATGTAGAAGAGACATGAAGAAGAGGGGACACATGTTGATGTAGAAGAGACATGGAGAAGAGGGGACACATGTTGATGTAGAAGAGACATGAAGAAGAGGGGACACATGTTGATGTAGAGGAGACATGGAGAAGAGGGGACACATGTTGATGTAGAAGAGACATGAAGAAGAGGGGACACGTGTTGATGTAGAAGAGACATGAAGAAGAGGGGACACGTGTTGATGTAGAAGAGACATGAAGAAGAGGGGACACATGTTGATGTAGAGGAGACATGGAGAAGAGGGGACACATGTTGATGTAGAAGAGACATGGAGAAGAGGGGACACATGTTGATGTAGAGGAGACATGGAGAAGAGGGGACACATGTTGATGTAGAAGAGACATGGAGAAGAGGGGACACATGTTGATGTAGAGGAGACATGGAGAAGAGGGGACACATGTTGATGTAGAAGAGACATGGAGAAGAGGGGACACATGTTGATGTAGAAGAGACATGAAGAAGAGGGGACACATGTTGATGTAGAGGAGACATGGAGAAGAGGGGACACATGTTGATGTAGAAGAGACATGAAGAAGAGGGGACACATGTTGATGTAGAGGAGACATGGAGAAGAGGGGACACATGTTGATGTAGAAGAGACATGGAGAAGAGGGGACACATGTTGATGTAGAGGAGACATGGAGAAGAGGGGACACATGTTGATGTAGAAGAGACATGGAGAAGAGGGGACACATGTTGATGTAGAAGAGACATGAAGAAGAGGGGACACATGTTGATGTAGAGGAGACATGGAGAAGAGGGGACACATGTTGATGTAGAAGAGACATGAAGAAGAGGGGACACGTGTTTGATGTAGAAGAGACATGAAGAAGAGGGGACACGTGTTGATGTAGAAGAGACATGAAGAAGAGGGGACACATGTTGATGTAAAAGAGACATGAAGAAGAGGGGACACATGTTGATGTAGAAGAGACATGAAGAAGAGGGGACACATGTTGATGTAGAAGAGACATGAAGAAGAGGGGACACATGTTGATGTAGAAGAGACATGAAGAAGAGGGGACACATGTTGATGTAGAAGAGACACGAAGAAGAGGGGACACATGTTGATGTAGAAGAGACATGAAGAAGAGGGGACACATGTTGATGTAGAAGAGACATGAAGAAGAGGGGACACATGTTGATGTAGAAGAGACATGGAGAAGAGGGGACACATGTTGATGTAGAAGAGACATGAAGAAGAGGGGACATATGTTGATGTAGAAGAGACATGGAGAAGAGGGGACACATGGTGATGAAGAAGAGACATGACGAAGAGGGGACACGTGTTGATGTAGAAGAGACATGAAAAAGAGGGGACACGTGTTGATGTAGAAGAGACATGAAGAAGAGGGGACACATGTTGATGTAGAAGAGACATGAAGAAGAGGGGACACATGTTGATGTAGAAGAGACATGGAGAAGAGGGGACACGTGTTGATGTAGAAGAGACATGAAGAAGAGGGGACACATGTTGATGTAGAAGAGACATGGAGAAGAGGGGACACATGTTGATGTAGAAGAGACATGAAGAAGAGGGGACACATGTTGATGTAGAGGAGACATGGAGAAGAGGGGACACATGTTGATGTAGAAGAGACATGAAGAAGAGGGGACACGTGTTGATGTAGAAGAGACATGAAGAAGAGGGGACACGTGTTGATGTAGAAGAGACATGAAGAAGAGGGGACACATGTTGATGTAAAAGAGACATGAAGAAGAGGGGACACATGTTGATGTAGAAGAGACATGAAGAAGAGGGGACACATGTTGATGTAGAAGAGACATGAAGAAGAGGGGACACATGTTGATGTAGAAGAGACATGAAGAAGAGGGGACACATGTTGATGTAGAAGAGACACGAAGAAGAGGGGACACATGTTGATGTAGAAGAGACATGAAGAAGAGGGGACACATGTTGATGTAGAAGAGACATGAAGAAGAGGGGACACATGTTGATGTAGAAGAGACATGGAGAAGAGGGGACACATGTTGATGTAGAAGAGACATGAAGAAGAGGGGACATATGTTGATGTAGAAGAGACATGGAGAAGAGGGGACACATGGTGATGAAGAAGAGACATGACGAAGAGGGGACACGTGTTGATGTAGAAGAGACATGAAAAAGAGGGGACACGTGTTGATGTAGAAGAGACATGAAGAAGAGGGGACACATGTTGATGTAGAAGAGACATGAAGAAGAGGGGACACATGTTGATGTAGAAGAGACATGGAGAAGAGGGGACACGTGTTTATGTAGAAGAGACATGAAGAAGAGGGGACACATGTTGATGTAGAAGAGACATGAAGAAGAGGGGACACATGTTGATGTAGAAGAGACATGGAGAAGTGGGGACACATGTTGATGAGATGCCTGTGAGATGTGCATCGCCATCACGCAGAGTATTTTACGCACACCCGGCCACAGTTTACATCTGTGCACAGTTGTAGTGCCAAAAGGGACTGACAGTGGACATGAGCTTGTAAAAAATGCATTTCTAAGGCCGTGTTAACTGACCATGTTGTTTTTCCTTCTTAAACATTGGCAGCGCTACACATGGAATAATAAGCGGGAGCGGTGTCGCAACGTCTCAACCTGTAATGAATCCATTAATAATTGGTTAATTAATCAAATTCGCCATTAATCATAATATTATAAAAGATGAATTTACTTGGCCTGTAAACATATATTTTGCACTCTTTGCATTAGAGCTGTTGCCTCTCAGTGTGCAACTTAAACTTATTATTACTGGCTGGTTCTTAGTTTGACAATTTATACTGTGAGTAATAATGTTACTCCTGTATCTTCTACCACACTACATTCTACATGTTACACTTCATTGATTTTATAAATACTGCTGCTGCTACTTCTTCTACTGGAACGTGTACTTGGTAAATTGTAATAATTTTGAATTGAAATGTTAAATATTATGTGCATGCCTCTCATCTAAGAGTGTTTGTTGTCTCTATCTTACTTTTGCTAGACGAAATTCTGATTCTGAGATGATGGTGTCGAATGAAAGGAAACTAAATAAATCCATGTGTGCGACCGTCACCCGCCCTGGACTACCGGCCGGTCTGTGATTCTCCAGAACACACAGATGGCAGTCCGCCCATCTGAAGATTAACCTTTGCTTTCCTTTGTTCCGTTTCAACAATATGCCTTGGCAGATACACTCACTTTTTCAGCTGGCTGTCATGTAGATAATGTGGAAAGCTTTACCTGCCTACTTCCTGCTAAACACATTGATTTCAGAGTGCTTAAAAGTCTAACTTTAACTCTAAAGTACGTCACTTTTAGCACATGTTGCAAATGCATAATTTCCCTGGTGAATTCAACCTGAGCGTGCCCTCCATCTGCTGCTAAAAAAACAACCGGTGAGCGAGGGTGGAGGCAGCAGAGCTGGAAGAGAGAATGTCTGCATGTATTTACATCTATATCCTCAAACATATGCATCCTCCCAACATGTGTCTGTGTGTGTGTGTGTGTGTGTGTGTGTGTGTGTGTGTGTGTGTGTGTGTGTGTGTGTGTGTGTGTGTGTGTGTGTGTGTGTGTGTGTGTGTGTGTGTGTGTGTGTGTGTGTGTTGTAGACTCTCACCTCTGCCGTCAGCCAGACAGTGGTTGTAGCCCACGGGGCTGAAGTACTCGAATATAAACACAGCCATTGCTGACACCAGCAACAGCATCACGAACATCATCACCCACACATCCGCACTGAAGGGCTCTGGAGGGCGAGAGGAGGAGGGAGGAAGGGAGGGAAGGAGGGAAGGAGGGAAGAAGAGAGGAGGGGAAAAGGAGGAAGAAGAAGAAGGGGAAGAGACGATGGAGGGAGGAAGAGGGAGAAAAGGCGAGGGCGTCAGAGAACAGGAAGCGAGGGAGGGAGAGGGCAAGAGAGATATGTAAATTGAGGAAGAGAAAGAGAGAAATGGAGTAGGAGTGGGAGATATGAGAGGGCAGGGAGCGAGAGGCAGAATAAATAAACAGTTAGCATCATTATCATGCACTCCAGTCTGCCTCCTCGTCACACACATGCATTAAAACTTGGCTGTAATCACTAAATCACTTTTAGTTCAACTTCCGAAGGTGTAAAAATGCACGAGGACCTAAAGCGACCCACAGGATTGCATATGGCTCTGCAGTCTGTCAGCAGCGAGACAACAGTTACATCAAACTCAAACAATGGCAAAACTAAATCCCCAAAGTTTTGCATATATCACAAATTGCCGTTAAACAAAATGATGTACGTGGACGAAACAAGATTTTTCGGGGGGTATTTAATGTACAATTTGATTTAATTCAATCCCCTTATATTGTCATTTTACATTTAGGTACTGTTCACACCTCTTTATAAGTAATTATGCTGAGTTTATTTGTTGGAAATGACCGTCTATTCTATATAAAATGTATATTTTTGTATCCATTATTGTATTTATGTTAATAATTCTCTTTATGGGAGTATGATACAACACAATGTAAAAACATAGAAGGCTGCCAACATGTCTTCCTGTATTATAGTGGGCCTTATGGTCACTATACGTGCCAGCAAACTTTTTTCAGTAATGTAACCCATTTGAAACATTTTCTCAGCCAAGTACCCCCTGACCGACCCCGGACATTTTTGACAGAAAAAGCCTATATAAATAATTACAATATCTTTTTGATTTATTAACTCCTTAATGCATGAATTACAACAAACTAAGGATATTTTCATCTTTATGCATGAAAAATTAGTTTTTCAATATGTTTAAAGGTGGGGTAGGTAATTTTGGAGAAACCAGCTCGAGTGCGCTAGAATTTGGAAATACACAGCCGGAAAAAATCTGCCACTTCCTTATAAAGCCCCTCCTCCAACACACACGAACGCGCACATGACCAATGAGGGCACGAGATAAGTTTGTGCACAGATGGAAGGCTGACAGGCAGGTAGGCCATCCAGTTACTTTAGCCGGGCTGGCTCAGATGATTGGTCGTGCTTTTTACAGCGCCACGGCTTCCAGAGACGAATTTTTTTTATGGATTTTTTGTCAAAGCACTTAATATATTCATTGCTATCGGGATGTTAAGAGCATTCCATGGAATATAACAACAAGTGTATCTCGAGCCGGTTTCTCAAACTTACCTACCCCACCTTTAATATCGATATTATAACGATAATGTTTGCCAGTGGATGAATGTCGATCAAGTATTGTATTTAAAGATTAGATTATATTAGATTCCTTTTATTGTCACTACACAGAGTTCAGCGAAATTCCAAGCATTCCCGATGGTGCAATCACACAAAACAGACAGTACAAGTATAATTTTGACAATACAAGCTAAAAACTTTTAATATATAATATATAAAGTGACTATAAATTGGACCTATGATACATTTAACAGTACGATTACAAAACAATACAACATTAAAGAGGACATATTAAGCAAATTGTTCCTAGCATCTTCTAAAAAGACGACAAGACTCAGCGTTTTTTTTTTTTTAAATACAATGATCTCTTTAGGATAATGTTGCTACTACGCAATTATTCTTGTTTTAATTTAATTTCAAGTTTGTGTAAGGTATGGCAACTATGTTGTTTAAAAGAATTAAACATTTATAAAACGTTTTTTTTTTTTTTAAATACAATGATCTGTGCTCCTTACCTAAGAAGGCGGAGGGCGACACGGTGCCGTTGCTCCTGGAGACCATGACGCTGATGCCCGTCTCGATGAAGGGGACGGAGAAGTCGATGACCTCCGACCTCTCCTCGTTGATCGTCAAGGAGCCGACGGCCATGTGAGCGTTCTTCAACACCACCTAGAGAGGGGAGGATGGAAAACAGGAAGCGTCCGTTATTCAAACATCGTTCCTCCATTTAATAAAATATGTCCTTAAAACCTTTCGTCTGGGTTAAATGTGTTGCTTGCTTTAAAAACAAAACAAGATGAGTGTTATATCGTATACCCAATGAAAATATCTTAACAACTTTAAGGGGAAACCTGGAGACTTTCAAAATATATGGTGTGGTTTCTAAGGTTCAAGGTTCAAAGGTTTTATTGTCATAAAGCTACAGTGTAGAAATGGCAATTCAATTCTTCTGATCTGAGCTCCTCCAACAACGCAACATATATAATAAAATATAAAATACAAAGTAGTGCACAAAAGGTATATTGATATATATTGAGATTCAACAATATAACTCTACTTTTATATTCAATTTTGGCATTTATCAAACATGTGAGTCAGATATATCTCTCATTTAATTGGTCATTGTTTCTTTTCTTTTGTTTTTATTACCTTGTGATGATAACTAAATGTACGCGCAAGAAGGCCTGTGATCAGTTCACCGCCTGTTGGAGCCACAATGCTTCTTTATCATTTGTTCATTATTTATATTATTATGATTATTTGTTCACACCGCACACATTTAATGGCCATGTGGTTGTACTTGAGTTATTTTTTGTTTTATTTCCTTTATTAAACATTGTGAAACTTAAAGTGGACCTATCATGCTATATTGGAAACGTATATTGTAGGGCCATACCTATACAAAACATGTCTGTGAAGTGTTTTTTTCAAAATACCAAACAGATCAACCATTGTAGCCATGCCTCATACTGCTCACACCCCTCTTTTGAAGCCCTGTTAGAGAAACGGGGATTTTGGGTCCTTGGCTTTAAAAAAAAAAAAAAAAGGAGGCGGAGCTAATGCCTGATCAGAATTCTACCGGAGATAAAGTTAAATTCTGTTGTGATAAAATGCCATCCTGTTTAAACCACATCAAAGATTATTTCTGAAACAGTATGGAGCTCAAATGCTTTTTCTCTTGCAGGTTTATCACAAGGTGAGTTCCTTTTTTATTTCCTGCTTTTTAAACACATGTGCTTTCCAGTACAGGTTAGCTCTGAGTGTTAGCGAGGCTTGCTAATGTAAACAAAGACGAGATTACGTCCACAACACGTCAGGCATTGTTTCTGATAGCAATTTTCTGTGGGTCCGCTGCCGATTTGACATCAGATCGGCAGCAAATCTGTATCCGCTCGTTGTACCCCTGTTTTTAAAAGATGTGGGTACGGAGGAAAAGAGAGAGGGTTTTATTTTCTGACGCTGCGTGAGTTCCCCGACGCACCGAGGACACATATTTATGTATAAAAGAAATCACAAAGTGCATTTTGCTTGATAGATCCCCTTTAACTTTGGTACAGCCTCTATCTTGGGACGCGTCAAAGTGATGAGGGGTAAAACTAAGAACATTAACTAACTAATTGGGAGTTTACTCGCTATACTGCCTTTACGAAATACATTTTCAGGATAAAGATAGACTACGAAAGTGTGTAAAACCAGCATTAAAACACAAGCATGAACATGATATATCACATCCTTCAGCTAATGTTAAGGTGATGTGCTGAAAGTCTTTCTAAATCCAGATGAGAAAATGTGAAATGGACAAAGGTGGACGTTGTTACTGCAGTCCCAGCGTTTTAAATGTCATCGTGCAAACATTTGAACAAATAGCTTTTTACCATTTTATGGTGGACTCTGCTCTTATATCACTGGGTGAATGAATAAATGTGACTGGGCCTCTTTCGGCAATCTAATATGAAGAGTAAATATTAGGTTACAGTGTCAGCTCTTATAATCCAGGAGCAATATCTTCTGTCTAGACACATCGCTTTACACTGACACACACAACCCATTGCGGAGGAGCAGTTTTTCAACCGTGCAAAAACTATTGTTCAGAGTAGAGGGGAAAGCTAACGTCCGGTCCGCTAACATGCATGAAGCTGCAGCAGCAGATGAATGCACTCTCTGTGTTAGCTGTCAAAAGGTATTTTTGGGAAATGTAGGAAATCAAATTTGACAAAATATCAGAACGGACAGGTTTGAAGGAAAGTGGATGCATTAAAAAAGCGGAGAGGCAAAGTGAGCAAAGTGAAGAAACATGAACATGGAGATAGGGGGGGGGGGGAAGGGGGCTGAAGGAGTTCTTGTAGGACTGGATGGTCACTGGTTTAAATCCCAGTACGGAGCACAAAAGAAAAAACATGTAATAACATTATTTGTAATAAATAAAATAATGCTGTTTGGACAGATGGGATTTAAAAAGAATCACACCATTATCTTTTGAATCTATATTTTTATTTAAGACCCCGGCACACGAGGACGAAAACGGCTAAACGCATAGGATTAACGCAAACAAGCTTCCGTCCACACGCAATAGTTATCCGGATAGTGTATGCCCACACGAGACCGCTCCGTTTAGCTCCAACCGCTGGAGAAGCTGCAGTACATATGCAGGAGCCTGTACGTGGCGCTGTAACTTCCTCCACAAAAGCAGCGAAGAAGCATGGTTGTCATGGTTGCCCTTCTGTTTATTCTCCGCGGTGGGGACCGAGGGAATCGGGCAGAGTTTTTCGCCAGTCAACGTGTATTAAAGTTTAAACCTTCCGACAAAATTATAAAAATGCCGGTCAAAGGTGTTCTTTGTTATTTATTGACCTTTAAAACAAATTAATAACGACTCTATATAATATAATAATAAAAATACACGGAGCCTCTCTTTTTCCACCCTCTCTTTGGACAGCGTCAGTGTCTGTCTCATGCAGCAGCTGATCCAGTAATGAGTGACCCGGCCGACAGTAAAAAATAAACATATTTATAACTAGTTTAGGTAGTTTGAGAGGTGTCTCCGTCCTGTCAGATTAGACTTCTCTCGCGTTTATGTCCATATCGAGAGAAAGATAAATAATCTGAATTCAGTGTGCAGTTTACTTTGACGCGGGGGTGAGCAGCAGAGGTGGGGAGAGGCGGGGCTATTGCGCAATCATTATCAGAAAATGATCGCTGAAGCTGCAGTCCATATCCACAAAAGCAGCGAGTAAGATCCCCCCCGGATGTGTAAGTCTGCTGTAGATGTTGCACAAAGAACTGTAGCATGGTCAGTAGCGTCCGGAGCACGATAGCAACTCTGCGATCCGCCATTGTTGTTGTTGTTATTGGTGGCGAAACACATCAGCAATGGCGCGGGGTAAGCGGAGGTGAGCAGAAGAGGTGGGGAGAGGCGGGGCTATTGCTATTGCGCAATCACTATCAGAAAATGTTCGTATAGGGCGCACACACGGAGCCGTTTGACCCCCCAGAGCGTTGCGTATGCCGTTCTATCCACCTTGGGACCCGTTATCGTTTCCTCAGTCGTTTAGTGCCGTATTCGGTCGTCCTCGTATGGCCGAATGGTCTATGACACTAAACAGTAACGCAAACGGCCGTTTTCGTCCTCGTGTGGCCGGGGCATAAGAGAATGGTGTAAAAATAAATGTTTTTTTCTGTTAAAGGTCCCATGTCATGCTTTTCTGGTTATTACCCGTCCCCTTGTGTGTTATGAAGGTTTTCTGCATGTAAACGGTCTGCAGAGTCACAAACCCTCAAAGTACACCCTGTAGCGAGTAAAACTCTAACACAGAAAAGACCTCCCCAAAACGCCTCGTTGGAGATTTCTCATTTTCCATTGTTTACTTCCTGGGTACTGTGACGTGTGAATACCCAGAGGCCACACCCTCTGCCAGCATTTCACGAAACAAAGCTTCCCAAAACCTTTCAGCGATTCATGCCGGATATGTACAGCGTAGGGCACTGAAGAATGATGCTGTTCCTACTTTGTTTGGACCAGCGGGAGATTCGGGTACACAACCTGTAAGTATTCATTGTTGTTTGTGTATTTATGATGTTTAAAACAAACAAGGTATCTACCACGACTATTTAAATGGTAAACGTTTTTCGGACTACTAAGTTGGGATCGCGGAGAAATGCTCTCCGCAGACCCATTCTCACAGCGTTATCAACCTTTTTCTTACTCAATATTAAGCCACACTTATTGTTTTTACTTCGGCTGTGAGTGTTTGTGTGTGCTCAGAATGAGTTTCGCTTGTTCTCGCTGTATCGCCGACCCGGAAACCTGTCTACGAGCAGCAACGAGCCTCTCAACGTCGCGAGCAATCGGAGCACACTGGGCTCACAGGGGGGGGCAGGAGCTCCAACAAGCCGTTTAGGACAGAGAGTGAATACACATACTTTACAGAGATGCTGTATGAGAAACCAATGTGAGTTTGGAAAATTGCACAATTTAAATCTATTTTAGTAGACCTCAACAATGGAATTCTGATCAGTAGAAATGGCCATGACACGGGACCTTTAAAGACAAACATGAGTGTTGTTTTCTGAAATAATTAATAGAGTGTCTTTTTGTTTTTCTTGTTTATTCTTTTGTATTGATCTGTAGTTGAATTTTTTTAAATAATTGATAACATTTACAAATGCTAACCTCTGCTCTGAATGCCTTTATTTAATATATATTCGATGGTAATGTATATAATGTTTCAAAAACGGTCATTCCCTCTAATATCACAATTGCATTCAGTTATTTTTTTTGCAGCCCTACAAAAAGGTAGAGCAGGAGGACAACGCAGGACACTCGTGATGCGTCTCGGGGGAGGGAAAAGGGGGAGAAAGACAGAAAGAAGGAGGAAGAAAGTGGGTTACCACAGTGGGTCATGGCTGCTTGAAATAGCCGTCCCTCCTTCGTCTACCTGCCTCTGCTCAGGTTGTATATTTAGCCCCAGATTTATTCAGCCCTACAGCACAGGGGCAAAGTGGGCCACCATCTCACTGAGTTAATAGAGAGGGGCAGGGATGATGTATTATTGTAGGCCGAGCAGGAAGTTAGCATCACAATAGCTCCCTCGACAAAATGCTAATGGATTATTTTCATTTTTTATGACGCCGGTTTTGTTCAGCAGGATAATCTCGACA